AATCAATAATGTATTATAAACATCACAGTTTCCAGGAGACTAGTTCTTAACTGCTTTCAACACAAAAATCTGGAAAATTCCTAAATATTTGGAAGTTAAACAACATTCCTTTAAATAATCCAATAGTCAAAGAGAAAGTTAAAAGGGGAATTTTAAAGTATTTTCAATTTTCGTGAAAACTAAAACAACACATCGAAATGTATGACCCTATTAAAGTAATGTTTAGAGCGAAATGTGTCACATGAGATGCTGCTACTAGAAAAGAACAAAAGTCCCAAATGTATGACCTAAATCTTCACTTATTCAAAAAATAAGAGCAAAATCAACCAAAAGCACATATAAAGAAGGAAATAGAGCAGACCTCTCCTGTCTCGCCCACTGCTCCCTTCGGCAGTGTATTTCAGTCATTCTCCCTGTTCTGCTCCCCACTCTGTCTCTGGTGAGTCCTCTCACCCCCTCCCTGCATCTCTGGCCTGTACCCCAGCTCTTGTATGCATAAATAAATCTTAAAAAAAAAAAAAAGAAGGAAATATAAAGCCAATTGTGACAAATCAGTGAAATTGAAGCAGGTTCTTTGAAAAGTTCAATGAAAGATGATTTCCAGTATTCTATCTATTTCATACATATCTGAAATAATAAAACTGTTATACTGAATAAAATAAATAAGGAAATATTGACATACCAATTAATTTGCTAATTTGGGGAAAACTGGACAGATCCCCTAGACACAAACAACCAAAGCTTACCCAAAGGGAAAAATGATCTGAAAAATAAAATTTAAAAAAATTATCTGAACGATCCCGGGTCTATTAGTAAAATCAATTCATACTTTGAACGCTTTCCAACAACAACAAAAAAAAACCCTAAAATCTTAAATGGCTTTATTGGCAAATTCTAGCACATATATACAGGACTTACAGCATTGATTTTAGACAAATTGTTCTGGAAAACAAAAGACAAGGGGACATTTGGCTTAATGTTTGAAAATCATGAAATGTAATTCACCATATATGAAGGACTTAAAGAAGATCTAAATGATTATCTCAGTCAATGGGTGGAGAAGTGGCATCTGACAAAATTCAAAGAGCATCTGGGGAAAACCCAAATATAACATCAGTGAAAGACAGAATGCCTTCCTCCTGAGGTCTGGACAAAGGCTAAGACCTCCACTCTTACCATTTTACATGATACTTATTAAGTTAATATGATAATTATTAGTAAGGAAATGTTATAAGGCACAAGAAAAATATAGTCATAGAGGTTGGAAAGGAAAAAACAAAGTTCCCTGTTCACAGTCACAACATGATTGTCTACATAAAACCCCAAATAATCACCAAAAACTACTGGAATCAATACATGACTTCAGGCTACAAGATCAATATAAAAAATATCAATTACATTTGTCCACACTAATGATGAGCAACTACTAGAAATTAAAACCAAAACAAAACAGTGAAGTTCTTAGATGAAAAGGCCCATATCAATGTGCAAGTTTTATATACTAGAAACTACCAAACCTTGATGAGAGAAATCGAACAAGACCTGAGTAAACAAAGAGAAATAGTCCACGGAGTGGAAGAGACAATATTGTTAAACAGTCAATGGTCGCTAAATCGTCTACAGTTTCAGCACAAACTATAAATACCAGTTAACAAGCAATTTTAAAATTTATATGAAAAAAGCAAAGGAACTAGAACTGTGAAAAAAATTGTTTTGAAGAATGTGAACAAAGTATAAAGTATACTTTATATACTTGATAACTTATACTTAGTAAAGTTGTACTTAATAAAGTATAAGTTATCAAGGTGGTGTGATCGTGGAAATCTTTAATTTTTATTGATACACTTTTTTACATCATAGTTCATTCTCCTCCCAGGTGTGGTCCCCATAAAATTACCACCACCAAGACACCCAAAAACTGTCACCATATTCTCTTGTGCTCTTCCCTCCCATGTTTGGATCCCCGTCCTTCCCTCTCCCCAGCTGAATATCCCCAATTATAGTTTGCCCTCTATTTTTGTCTGCCCCCATCCCTTTTTTCCCTTTTGTTCCTCCCAAGTGAACCATGCAGTATTTTTCTCTTTCCTTCTGACTTATTCACTGATCATGATCCCTTCCAGGTCCATCCATGTTCCTGTAAATGAGTTTATCTTTTTTTAAAAAAATTTTTTTCTATTTATGCATACACAAAATGGAGTATAGGCCAGAGCTGCAAGGGTAAAAGGATTCACAAGAGACAGAATGGGGAGCAGATATACTGAAATACACTGCTGAGGGGAGCAGTGGGTGAGACAGGAGAGGTCTGTTGTGCCATGTGTGAGAATTCCACCCAAATTCCCTGGTTGGAATAGAACTCAGGCCACAGAAGTGATAGCACTAAGATTTAACCCCTACACCACCACAGAGGACCAAGTTTATATTTTTTGATTGCTGAACAGTATTCCATTGTTTATATATCACATCTTCTTGATCCAGTCATCTGTTTTGGGGCATTTCGGTGGTTTCCATATCTTAGCTACTGTAAATAGTGCCGCAATATTGGAAATCTTACAGACAAGTAAAACACATGGCAGAGCCAGAAGTAGGACTATATACATGTGTGGCAACCACACATGTGATTTCAACAAGTCAATCCAGTGTAGAAAAATTAGTCTTTTCAATTAATTGAGCTGTGGCAATTAGATGTCCATATTCAAAACCAAAATGAAACAACAGAACTTTTCCCTTAACTCACACCACATACAAAACATGACATGATCATATATCGAAATGTAAAACCAAAAACCGTAAAATTTCTAGATTACTTTTTTTCATGTTGGGTTAGGCAAACATTTCTAGAAATACAAAAAAGAAAACCACTAATCTCAAGAGAAAAAAGTGAATTAGATCACCTCAAAATTTAAAATCTCCCTCAGCCACGGATCGAGAGAAAAATTTTCAAGTCAGCCTCTTGTATTTTTTTTTAAAAAAAAAAAACGTTATCTAATGCGTATAAGAAGCTCTCTCAAAATTTATTGTTAACAGCACTCGGAACTGAAAGTTTGCAGAATCCTAGAAAACGGTTAAATCTTGGTAAGTTCAGCATAATCACTGCTGGAGACAAGTTAGCGAGTGTTCAACTTTGTGAAACCCATTCCAACAGCGACATCATGTGACAGTGAGAAGAAAATACAACTTCTTGAAGAGGTTTCAGTATTCTAACTGCTTAATGTGGAAGCTGAACCCACCCCTTGGGAGACAGGGCATGCACTGCATAGAGCTCTTGCAGTTCTTGGACAATTCTAGAAGTGGAGGTGACCTCAGAGGTGGGAGACCGGATTTCTGCTAACTAGCCAAGCTTTTTGAGACTGTAAAGCTGGGAGATCCCAACTGGTCTGAGGACCTTTGAGCTTGTTACCTTCCCCCAGTCCTGTCATCCTCCTGCAGCCCCCACTCCACCCATCTTACCAACAAAAAAATCAAGGGGTATGCAAAAAACCAGAAAATATAAGAGAGAAGATTGTATTTGGCCCTCGAGTAGGGTGCAGCATTTCATATCAGATTTTACCAAAAATAGCCCAACTATATGGTAACTTTATATGTCTCTGATAATATAAAGTTATATATATTAGTTTAACTAATCAGAACTAATCAGAATTTGTATTCACTTTCCTTTGTAACCAGAACAGATGACCAGAAATTTAGTAGTTTAGACAACACGATTGTAACATTACAGTAATAGTCTAGTAAGGGAAGACTAGTAAGGGTTTCACAAAGCTAAATGGAAGCTAGTGGCAGAACTCTGTTCCATTCTTCAGGAGAAAATCCATCTCCTTACTCATTCTAGCTGTTGGCAAAATTCAGTTCCTTGTGGGTGTTGGACTGAGACACCCCATTTCCTTGCTGGCTGTCAGCTGAGGTCCACTCCCAGTGTCTAGAAATCACCCACATTTTTTCTCAGCAGCTTCATAGCCAGCAATGTAGGGGTGGGTCCATCTTCTGTAGAAGTCTGAGCTGCTCTTCTATCCACTTCTTGCAGTTTTAAAATTCTTGTGATTAGATTCTAGGACCCTGGTAGGTAACATGGGTAATATCCGTATCTCAAGATCAACTTTTTTAACAACCTTGATCACATCTACGAAGTCATATAAGGTAAAAGATTCACAGTATGAACATTAGCTCGGACATCTTTGGAGGAGCCACTCTCTGTTATATAAATGTTTAAAATCTAATTTAAAAAATGTTTTGACTTTCCTGATGAAAGGACTCTGAAACACACTAAGATGGATGAATGGATGGACTGATATATAAATAAAACTATGAATTCAATTCCAGTGAAATGTTTACTTTTCCAGACTGAGCTTAAGTATCTTCTCCTTTGAGAAACTAACTTCACCGCAAGCTGTACACATTTTCCCATTTAATAGTGCGGGTTTTGAAGCCTTGCTTTAATCCTGGCTTGAATATTTGTTGTGTGTTTGGGTGAATCATATAAACTCTCTACTCCGCTTTCTTAACTAGAAAATGGGGCTTACCCATGTTTCTGTGAAATTTAGGAGAGTTAATGCAAAACTACAAGTACTAGATTGGCATTTAGTAAACAATTCAGTACCTATTAGCAAGGGTTTATAGTACTGTCTGCCACTTTGGACGACTTGTTAACTTGGGTAGCCACTGATTTCAGTAAGTTCCACAAGGCTAAGAAACTGTATTTTGTTCACTGCCTAAAACTGCTCTGGAATCCAGTAGGCATTCAGTACACAGTGTTGAATACCTCCCTACCAAAGGTGATGAAAATATCACCTACATATGGATATTTTTCCCCCAAATTAAGAACAGGTCTTGCATACAGCAGATGCACAATAAATTTGTTGACTGAAGGAAAAATGAAGATGATCACATGAAAAATGTTTTCAGACAACTGTCAGAACTATATCAAGGCGTAAAAAAAGAGATTTAGAAACATACCAGTTTACGAAATTTTTTATTTAAAAAATAAAATTATAAACAAAATACAGAAAAATATTGACACCTGTGATAACAAGGAAATGACTCCAAATCTGTAGGGCAGCTCGTTATTCTGGAAGAACAAAATCATGAGTTTTATAAAGAAATTTTATTGTGCAAAGGAGGAATGTACTTTTTTAAGGTTCATTTATAATAGGTATTTGGCATGGACAGAGAAATATTTCTATGTATACATTCAATGTTTTGCAGCATATTTACATTCAAGTTACATTTCAAATTCTATGCCAAATACAGTCTAACTCACCATCGAAACTCCCTACAATATTACTAAAATTCCGTTTATTTGGTAGGAGTACAGAATAATTTTATCAGAAAATAATTTTATGTTCCTACTAATGGGAACTACTTCAAAAACTTTACTGACATTTTCTCCCCAATTAAAGCCAAGCCTCTTCTAGACAAATTAGATGCTACTAAAATTTGGTCAGTTACAAAGTTACATGGTGATTTTTTTTCCTCCCTCCTAACAGACATTATTAAAACTAAAAATGAAAGGACACTAGCTCTGATAGATTACTTTTTCTTTTTTAGTAGTTAGGATATATGGACACAAGTAGAAAAATTTTAACTTCTTTTTAAAAGATGGTTGAAGCACTTTCCTTTTCAGTTGTTACCAAATTCCTCATCAAAACAAAACACATTAAAGAAACTCACATAATAGTTTCCTGAAAACCTTTCTACAGTCTCCCAAAACATTCTTTAAATCAGACTGTTTATTCATTAAAAATCTGAATTTCTTGCTTAGTTTTCCTAAATCACATTAGGGCAGCTTTCCCAGTTTCCTGATAATCTTCCCATTTCATTTGTAAAATTACAATTTCATTAAAAATCAACACAAACTACTAATAGCTTCCATCTTTGCTACAGTTCTTTGAGAAATTTATATCAAGTTACTGAAGAGACAAGATTCCACAGGGCACATCTGTCTAGATTTGGCAAATGTCAAGATTAGAAAGCTCTTGTGCCTCCATGAGATTCCAGATAAATCAATCTACTCAATGTATCAACTTTTCTTAATTATCTCAATTTGTAAAACGTCTAGTAAGATAATTAATGACAAAACAATGGAGACAGGTGAATTTCATTGAGTTGCCCTCTTTCTCTCTCATTTACTTCAGGTTGTAACTTCTCCTCCAGTACATGAGATCTGGCAGTTGACAGGAGGTTGCTGAGTTGAGACCACTTCTAATTCAGATTCACGAACAAATATCACTGCATCACCACTTACATTGATAAGACACTGCGCCTGTAAGAACAACAGGATATGGTCAGTCACAAACTCAACTATATATATATATTTTTTTTAAAGATTTATTTATTTATGCATACAAGAACTGGGGTACAGGCCAGAGGTGCAGGGGGTAAGAGGATTCACCAGAGACAGAGTGGGGAACAGAACAGGCAGATTGACTGAAATACACTGCTGAGGGGAGCAACAGGTGAATCAGGAAAGGTCTGCTGTGCCATGTGGGTAGCTCCCTGGCCGGGGATCGAACTCGTGCTGCGGTGGCTGCGGATAGCTTCATAGGTTGCATCTTAACCCCTTGCGCCACCAGGGAAGCCCATATGCTTCTGTTCATGAGAGACAGTGTTATCAGCTGAAAAAGCACAGGCTAATCAATCATTGGAGAAAAGACAGACACCCCCCCCCCCAAAAAAAAATGGGTAAAGGGTAAGAAGGTCACAGGAAAAGAAACTCAAAAAACTATTATATTTAATTTTTAAAGGAATGTTTAATAATTTTAAGTGTCTTCCCAAAACTGATGAAAGAAAGGTATTCTGAAATGTAACCTAAGGATCAACACAGCATTGAGTGGGTTTCTTGCTTAGCTAGCTCTGAGAACAATTGAAAGTGCTGCACCCAAAGGGTCCTGTGACTTGGGGTGAAACTGGAACACCTCTTGGAGACTTGAGAACAGCACAGACTGCACCAGAAGGAACACCGAGGAGATTTAAGCTTCACTAAACAGAAGGTGGGTGGAGAGAAATTCTTGGAGGCTGTGGTCTGGGGTGGAGAGGCTACTACTCCACAAAATGCAGTGCTATCACTTGGCAGTAGGACCTGTGGAAGGGAGAAGTGAGCAGTGTAGAGGCAAACATCCAAAGGGAAATATGTGCAGAGCACTTGGGGAGCAGGCCAGATCCCCAATGAAAAGAACAGTGACAGTGCACTGGGCAGCACTCCCCCTAATCCCTCTAGACTGGTACTGACATCATGAAGAACATTGAAAGCTTCAGTGCAATTTCTATCAAACTTTCAATGGAGCAAAGAAGTAGAGCAAACATCACTTAAATGTCTATGAAACACTAAAGACTGAATAGCCAAAGTAATCCTGACAAAGAAGAGGAAGAATGGTGGTAACACACTCCCAAACCATCAAACTATAAAGCCACAGCAATCAAAACATATGGTATTGGAATAAAAATAGCCACATAGACTAATGGAATAGAAATGAGAGCCCAGAAATGTAAAACAATGTTACTGTAATAAGATAAATAAATAGGAAAAAATAAATTATACTAAGCTCAAAAAAATATGTATGATGCTGAAAAAAATTAAGCAACCTCAGCAATACTCCTTTGTCCTCATTAACAAACTGACTCTGCTTCTTAGAAACAACAGGTGGCCCTCCATGATATGCTCTTCACCAGCGCTACAGTCAGACCCAACAGCACCAGTCCCAGCTAGAAGGCATCTTTAACTCTCCTCAGGGAGCTATAACCATATCCCAAAGACCCAGCAGAAGATGGCAGGAACAGTAACTTAAGAACAAAACTTTCAGAAGTCTAAGAGTAGTAACTAATCCCTTGGGATGGGAAAATAGCATTTGACCTATGTGTGATCATGGTTATTAATATATTCACTGAAACATTTTAAGTATCTAGAATCAAAGAGCTCTGAAAAACAATTCTTTCTTGGAGGGGAAGATGGGAAGTGGAAGGCCATGGTGAAATTCACAGGTCCTCCCATCAGAGATTTTTACTATGTCTCACCTGGTTTTTATTTGGATTCTCCATGAAGACACACTGCTTCATTATGTAGGAGACAACAGCATTTCCTCCCAAGGCAGCCACATGAGCTCTCACCATTGCAAACACCTCAGCAATAAAAGCATGGAGAAAACCACTGACTCCTCCTTCCTGAAAAATAATGTACAGGAAAATCAAACCATGTATGTACACATGAATATACAGAAAATGTTAAAGAATGTTAAAACATCTTAAATGACCTTAATATAATGGATAAACATTTTAATTTCCTTCATAATGGGGACTTGTTGCAAGAATGAACAAATTTACTGGACACGTGTCTAAAATAAGGATCAGTATCCTTACTTTACAGATGATGAAACAGCTCAGAGATTTTGTAAAAATGTGGCCCTGACCAGCTGTGACCACACAGGTAGTAAAAAAGTGCAGAGCAAGACTTCAAAGTGTTCCTCCATCTTTAACATCTTGCTCTATCAAATTATTCCCATTATCATTCAAATAAACTGGTGACAAAAATAACAAAACATTCCTGTATTTTATATTGACTATTCTAAATCTGGATCCAGTCACAAATGCCTTGTGTCAGTTTCTCAAAGGCATCAGCACTTTTCCTGTTGTGGGGGTCACTGCATGTGCCATTTCTGGGGGTTCCTCAACCAGTTTTCCACTAGGATAATTCCCACTTGATCCTTCATCCCCAGTTTACAGGGACCTTCCTTAAATATCATCCCTGACTGACAAATACAAATTCAGTTCCTCTACTATATTCTCAGGTAGCCTGTCATAGTACTTTATGTTGCTATAGCTATAGACATTAGTCATGTGACTTATTTGTCTCATGTCCCCCATGATAGATGTAAATACCATCAGGTCAAGGGCTGCACCTGCTTTGCTCATGACCATATGCTAACACCTAGTTCACAAGCATCATAGTAAGAATTCCATTCATATTTGTTAGGGGATGAAATCCAATAATTTAGAGCATTTTTTCCTTGTCCAAAAAATAAACAAAACATAAACCAAAGGCTAGCCAGCAGCTTAAAATACTTTTCAACCTAAGTTTTCAACAAACTCTATTGGAAGTTATTCACAGCCAAGAAAAAAATTCTGTGTTAAACTGGAAATCAGAGGCAAAACAGAATGCAGCTCGAAAACCATTTGATCTGGCCATCTCTTTCCGAAAATCCAGAGGATTCTAGTTTTGTAAAGGCATCTATTTAGAATGAAGGGATTAAGTGAGTTGGTTCAGCCCGCCTCCAACTCAATCACAGCTCAGCACATTTTTTTTCCTTTTACTCTTATCAGTTTTCCCACTACCTTTTAAATCAAGTAATTCCAATGGCAGAGTAACAGAGACTACAAATAGACTACTAATTTGAAAAAGATTAAATGACTGTAAGCAAATAACTCATGAGGCAATTGAATAAATAAGTGGTATTATGCCACACATTTAATATTATAGATCTCTATGGAAGAGAAATCTACTGCGAAAGCACACTTTGGGGTCGTTACTTAAGCAGCACAGAAGCCACTTAGGAAATAAAATATATGAATTCAAAATACTGCAATATCCATGTGCTATTAAGAACATTAGAAAAGAAGTCAAGCCACCAGTCTATTCCACCTCACACCCAACTTTCTTGGTCAAACTTAATAGACTAATAAGTACCATCTATTTTATTTCTATATTAAAAGGTTTTTGAGAATACCTTAAGATAGTTTCTTTATCATATCATCGTAACTAGAATATGATTTAAAAACTAATTTATCTTAAAAGGAACATCTACTAATTAATCTGACAAAAGTCTTCCACTCACTTACACAAAAGCATCTTGTGTTTACTCTGCACCAGGCACTGTACTGGGTACAGACTGTGAGCATAATGTTAAAAAATAGTATGTGATAAATAAAATAAATCTTTTTAAAAAATAGTATGTGAGCTGTTATTTCTAAGTATAGAAACACTGCTGGTGAACAATGGGGGAAAATCATTGGTAAGTTACCAGGGTAGTGAATGTGTTAAAAAAATAAATAAATAAACTGCTGCTAAAGTAAAATTTGATTAAAAAACTTTAAAATTTCCCTATTCACAATATCAACTTGCTTGACAGCCCTGTTCCATAATGTGATATAATACAAATATAATTTTTCTTCAATTTAAATTCAAATTAAATTTAATGTAATGAAAGATATTAACAGGCTGACTCTGATTAACTTTGACCACATCAAGTAAGATATAACTACTGTTATTTTATAAACATATTGAAGTTTAATGATTCATAGTGTAAGGTAAGAATCTGCAGGAGAAGAGGAAGGAGTGGGTTGGAGGGAAGGAGGAAGGAGCACAGGGGATTGTGGTGACGGTGCATGGGTGCCTTGGTGAAGGAAACTCTATGGGAACTACGCCTGAGGGGTGGGGGAAGAAAACATTGTTTAAAAATGAACAATGATGTAAAAAATATATAAAAAGAATCTGAATAAATGACATTCTCATACCCTGATGGTCAGAGTGGAAGAAGATGGGCAGACTCATTCTTTTTCAGAGGGAGGAAATGATAGAGTTAAATTATATAAACTATCCCATGGACATTTATCTACTACATAGTCCCCTACCTTTCTCATTGTAGTCCCGAAAGAATTTCTATTTAAAAAATAATAATAATAAATTAAAAATACAAAATTAATAGGCAACTATAAATCAGAGACATTCTGCAGGGGAGGGGAAGGGAGAGGGATCAAAATGGGAGGGGTGAGCACAAGGGACTGTGGTGATGGTTCACGGGCGACTTGGTGGTGGGAATTTATGGGGACTACACCTGAGAGAAGAAAGCAAACTACAAAAACAAACAATGATGTAAAATATATAAATAAATTATATTTTTGAAAAAAGAATTGCTATTTAAAAATATCACAGGCAACTACTGAGAAAACTAAGCTGTTCTTTCAGGGCTGTTTGAAACCTCTACTCAAACATGAATAAATGTATTTGCTGTATTTGTCATATAAGGATCTGGGATTTCTCATAATAAGTGGATTTAAATTTAACACAATTTCCATGATAATACTGGCTGCCTTATGAAATTTGTCACATGTAACCTAGAATCAATCCAAATAGGCTGTTGCAGTGAAGATGATATGTGTTACTTCTGGCAAAAAAATAATTTGAAACATTTGGCTTTATTACTAATATCTTCAATTGGAGAAAATTCACAATTAACAATGAAATAACATCTACAAATTTACCTCCCGCAGAGAAGTGGTTTCTCGAATAAAAAACATGTTGATTATTCCAAGATATTTAGTTATTTTTGCTCCAGGAATGAAAGAAAGAGGTGTCATCTTAACAACCCCTACTGTAGAATTTGCACAAGGTGGAGTAGAACGACTCCGGAAATTTCCTTCACCCATTGGACTTGGTTTTTCGACTGTCACAGCTAAAATTGGAGAAAAAAGAGAAAGCACCAAGATCAGATGGCTGGCAGCATGATCACTCCCTAAGGTGTCCATATAAGTGGTGACATTCAGCTGTCTGTGAGGCTAAGCCATGTCATGAAAGAAAAGAAATGATCATGCATTACATGCAATTAAAGAGAGAAAGAAAAATACAAGAGGAAATGCTGGAGTGGAATTGTTTTGGAAGAAAAATGGCATTCCTGCAAAAGAAAATGTTGATGCGGTGTAGCTACACACACAATGATCGTTATAAAGTGAAGGAAAAGAAAAAGCGGCAGAGCATTAAAAATTATCTGCTGTAGGAACAAATTATTCCAAAAAGAGTGTGAAAGTTGTATTCCCAGTACCATTTTCCATCTTTTTCAGACGACTTCATCATTGTCAACTTGTAGATAAACCTTAAGTTTACAACCTTAAGTTGTAATGGATTGCTTTTGCAAACTTTTTCGATTAAATGAACTTTTAATTTTTAAAACTTAACAAATGACCTTGGCTGTCTAAAAGTTGTTTATAAAATGAAAATAGCTACCACTTATCAAATAATCACTGTAGGCCAGTATATGTATCTAATCCTTACAACCCAGCAACATAGGAATTATTATTCTCATTTTACACATGAGGAAACTGAGGCTCAGAGAAGTTAAACAACTTGCCCAAGGTCACACAGCTATCAAACTGGTACTCCTAGTATTCAAAGCCAGATTTGGCTGCTTCCATATTCTGTGATTGTTCTGAAATATAGATCATTCACTTTCAATGTTATAAACTTTCACTAAAATACATCTACCTCAAAGTCTACCAAAACACATGCAATACAGGTAAAAACCATTTAAGTACTGATCCTGATTTTAGCAGTGAGATAAGGGTTAACTTTCTCCAGAAAGGTCTTATTCTTTTAGCCCTCTGGAAATCATATTTTGTAAACTAACAGATGCCACATTGTACATTGAGTCCTGGAAGAATGTCTCTTCAATAAGAGAGCTGATTATTGCCTTCCATTAGAACTGGTACATATTATCTATTTATATACTTTTAATACCACCTTCACAAAAAATAAAAATTTGAGAACACAATTGTACAGTTAAAATGAACAAATCTAAAGGGCACTAATAACTCATGCTAAACGACCATCAGAGTCTGCAGCTTTCACACTCCAGTGCATGATTGATTGGCAATGTTATTATTGGGTAGTAAGGTCTAGCCTTCACCACTGGAAAATCAGGAATATGCTTCTCAGATCATAATGTGGTAGAAACATCCGCCTACTTGTCTTAATTGATCCGCGTCTTATGGTCTGAGCTTTCAGTTTAATGAGCTCTATCCAGCTGCTGCATCTGTCTGCAAAGGAACTGTAATCAACTGACGTTGCTGAAAACACAGACAGAAAACAAAAGAAAAAACAAAGAAAAATATGGATGACGTCTCTTACTCGTCATAATACTCCTTCCGATGATGTCATTTAACTGTAACTTAGAAAAAGAATGGTCCTTTTCAAGTCAGGTAAGAGAGACAATAGAGTCAAGCTTTAGACACTGATTTGTCCAAAACCAAGTTCTTGGTTAACTGGCTGAGCGTTTTTTGGTGATGTCACAATTGCTTGGTCTTGGAGAGTATGAGCAAAGTGGGAGGTAGTGAAACCGTCAGTGAAAGGACCATAAACTGTGTTTTAACTCCCTTCTTGTCCCATTCTTTTGACTATACAATGCTTTAGCTCTTTATATTTTAGACTTTACAATCCAAACTTCGTAAATAATTCCCTTCCCTATTTTTACCCTAAAATTAAAGAAAAATAATGAGAATCAAATGTTGACAAACACATAAAGAAAATCATGAGGTGACTTATCTTTTATTGAAAAACTTTCTTTCTACTGGAAAGCCAAAGAATCATTTTTGTCAATATTGTTTCCATGTCTGATTTTGGCAATAAAACTTCTGATAACATGGGGTAGGGGGCACATTTGGGCCTAACAAGTTCTCCTTTTAAAAACAGTTAACATTCACTACTACTAATCTACAAAGATACTGTAAAAGAGTTAAAATTTAATTTTTAGAAGCTGAGGAACTATTAAAATGCTATCAAATTTAAATATTCATTTTTAATATTTTTAAAATTCAGTCTAACCACAGTAAAGCCACACTTGGGATCTACTCCATTTTGTCCAGTGCATTTCTCCGATGTCTGTATGCTTAGGCACCACCACACTAGAATTTAACACCTTGGGCGACTATTTGCTTAATTAGGCAAACTCACCTCTCTGTGCAGCTGGTATACCTGAGTTAGAACTTGCACTCTCCAGGTGTTCTAATAAGACAATATGAACAACATTAGCTTGGATGCTAAGTACAAGCCAGTATCTCTTCTTTGTTGTTTGTTAATACTCTCTATAAGCCAGATGAAGAGGAGGAAATCTCTATGGCTTCATTATAAAAGCAAACCAAATAGAAGTATTGAGGATTAGAACGCAGTTTCTATTGACATGTGAACTCTTGCTCAGTTGATAAATAACATGCCAAGAAGACTACTTGTTACTGCAACACAAAATGAGTGTCTGTACGGGCATGAGTGAATACAAACACAGTAACAAATGTAGTAGGATGAAAGCAGGATGTAAGAAAACTGGGTAGACAAGGGGTCAATGCACCGGGGAGAAAGTGAAATGACAGATGGGAGACTGGAAATGCTGGTGGAGAGGAGAGCCAGTGCTATGAAAACTGCACACAAGGCACTGCCCAATGTCTCACAGATAAACATAAGCCGCTAACCAGACTAATCCATTCCCTTGCCATAATGACTCGAATCCAAGCACTTTAGTCAACAGCTCCGTCTGTGTTATCAGTCTGTGTTATCAAGATTCTGTAGAGCTAACAAGTGACTGCTCACCACAGAAATAACTAGGAATTGCAAACTCCCTTTCCAGTAACCTCAGGAGAGTAGTACTGAATATTTTTCCTGATATTTTATATGTTTATTATAGATATTTAATTGTACAAGCTTAGCTAGTACTATAAAGATACTTCAAAATCTATTTTAATGTTCAGACTCTACCCTAAAAAAAACCCTATGGAAAACTGGGGTCATTTAAAAAAAAAAAAATTTACAAACTATGTAAGCACAAATTTTTTTGTCTCTGCCTAATGTGTTGATCTTTTGCTAATATTCTTAAATTAATAAGTTAAATGTTTCAAAGATAAGATTATAAAGATAAGTTCTGTACAGAATGTTTCTGCTAATTGGATGCCTTGGAAGTGTCTCTCAGACCCTCTTCCTCTTTTTATGAGGCAATTTGCTACTAATTGAGATTGCACAGCAGCTGACATTCCTCCTACAATATAGAGTTGCTGAATAAACGGTTTCACTAAGAAGGGTCCACAAAATGCCTTGACGTCATGGCCTCAGACTACAGATCAAGACTGGTGATTCCATCTTTGGAGGGAGTGAGGAGGCACTGCAAGCTACAGGATGATGACGAGACAGAACTGACCTTCAGAGGCTTGCCAGTCATCTCAGGGATAGCTCAGCACAGAAATGATCCCAGAGCAGAGCCTGGGATAAAATGGGGCATGCGCCAGACTCACCTATCGCAGGAAGGCCCCATGGCTCTCACAGCCATAGCAGTATAGACTTACAGAGTGTCAATCACAGAAAATACACTGGCATTAGGAATCATGTGAAATTTTTTAAAATGCAGGGATAGGGGAGAGAAAGCTAAAAAAAAGTGTGAAAATTACCGAAATGAAACTACCTTCTATACCTTGATATTATCTGGGTGTTATGGCATTCCCTAAGAGCAAATGTATATAATTTAATAGCAAATGCGTTTAAAAAGAGAGTGCTTAAACATGTAGGCAGTGTCTGCTTCCAGCTCTAAATATATCAAGTGAGAACAAAGGTATACAATGATCTATAAAATACTAGGGATTTAAAAAAAAACTAATGTCTTCGCAAAGACATAAATTGTTACATTAAACTGCCTTTTTAGGAAGGGAAGGGAAAGGGAGCTCTACTTTGGCCTATATAAATTTTTATGGGACTTGATTTTTCACTATGTATATTATTACTTTCCCAAAGAATTTTACAAAGAACAGGGAAGAGGAGAAAAAGCATGGGAAAATATTTATTACATGCTCTCAAACAGGAATGTATCTGAAATAAAGTCTAGGGAAAAAAAACTAAAATAACAGGTTTCAAACTAAGGGACGGCTGAGGGAGAAGTTACTGATCTCACGACAGGAGAGCAGGCCTGCCTGTAACAAGTTTGCTACGGGAGAGAAGGCTCGGGACATGCTGGTTCAGGCAACAGATACACATGGGCATGTCAGGGTGGTTTGGGGTCTAATGATCTCAGACGTTCAGTCAGTTGGGGCTTCAGAATACAGTTTGGCTTCCCAAATAATGGGATTTTATCTGAGTACTGACAGAGAAGGTTCTTCAATACAGTTGTCTGGCTTATTGACAACCTAGAAATTCTGGTTAAAAAGAAAGAAACAAAAGAATACTCAATCTCCAGGCCAACACTAAGACAATTTGTCTCATTAAAAAAAGTGGGGTAGGGGCCTCCTTGGTGGTGCAAGGGTTAAAGTCTCAGCCCTATCACTAGCCACTGTGGCCTGAGTTCAATCCCCAGCCAGGGATAACCCACATGGTGCAGCAGACCTCTCCTGTCTCCCCCACTGCTCCCCTCAGCAGCGTATTTTGGTCGATCTGCCTGTTCTGCTTCCCACTCTGTCTCTGGTGGATCCTCTCACCCTCCCACACATCTGGCCTGTACCCCGGTTCTTGTACAAATAAAAATAAATCTAAAAAAAAAAATTTATACTTTGTTTTTCTATTTAAGAATTTTCAATTTTAAGTAATTTTTTTTCAAAGATTTATTTATTTATACAAGCACTGGGTACAGTCAGAAGCGCGGGAGGGCAGAGAACAGAACAGGCAGACTGACGAAGTACACTGCTGAGGGGAGCAGCGGGTGGCAGGAGAGGTCTGCGCACCACATGGGACCCTCACCCAATGGCAGGGGATAGAACCGGCACTGCAGAGGCTGCGGGCAGCTTCGCAGCCCAGCGTTCAACCGCTCCGCCACAAGGGAGGCCCCAATATTAAATTATTATAATCAAAATCTGGTTTACAGTCTTGAGGCATTTACATCTGTCTATGTATTAATAATATATATACACATACATATAAATATACATACATATATATAGTGTATATATAAAAAGCTCTCAAATCTGACTTAAATGACTGAGTTAAGGTACAGAAACAGTCAGTATAAACTTCTAACACAATGGTACTCAAATATTCGTGGACTGATAATGAAATTGTCATATTACAATTATATTATTAAGACAAATGGATTCAATTTTGGATAGTCCACAAGGGGAAGCAATTCAACTATAAAACACAGATAAATTCATACATTAAATGACCAAGACAATGCATTTCTTTATCTGGGTCATTAGTTTCCCACCAAGGGTGTACAACATCCTAAATCATTTGTCTTTCTTCTTCAACCTCCTCCTTTCTTTTTCCTGCCTTTCGTTCCAGGCATCCAGCCCTCCCCTCATTCTCCTCCTTTATATCTTTTTTCCAAATACCCCCTACTTTCTGTCATAACCCAATTCAGTTTTCCTTTGCTTTTCACTTCCTCTTCCTCTGATTCTGAACTTCTCTACCATCAAGTTGCCAGAACCAAGTTAAGATTCCTTTACTCTGCTTCTCCACCAAGTGTCTTTTTCCCTCCTTCCTTCCCAGTTCTTAGATGAGTTTTCCACACATTTTCCTCTCTTTCCTTCCCCTTCCCCTCTCATTTCAAAAACTCCTGCTGATTGTTGTGGCCAACCAGTCAAGGGAAGAACATTAATTAGTGCTTTACTACTGTTGCTACCACATGGTCATTGTGACAAAAAATATTTTTTTAAAAAATCAGACATGTTAATAATTTTAGTTAGTATAAAAATTACATATAGTTGTAAGAATTCAGAACCATTAGTTAGCAGGAAAAAAAAATAAAAGCTAACTTTTATAATATTCACAGATGATACTTTTAATTACTAAATTGAAATGTGAGGAAAATAAGTTTTCAAAGTTAAACTGTCTTTTAAAATTGATTTAAATTTAACAAAAAGAAAAAGTAACTCAGACTATTAGAAAAATAAAAACAAAAACTTCTGCTTGTGAATACCTAATCTTGGAGTACAATGTTAAGAGTCAGCTTGTTTTCTTTGCTACTGAAATCCAGATTTTGACCTCTTCTTGGCCCACCAGTCAGCAGCCGCTGAAAGAGATGAGCGCTCCTGCCAGTTGATAGCTTATACCGCTGACCCTGAGGAAGTCACCCAGCAGAGAGCAAAGTCAAAGTACTACCAAGCCAGTATAAAACTTTTCTTCTAGATCACTTTCCTCTGACAGTACATGAGAATTAAAGTTGACTTAATCAAACCTTTTACAGCCTTAAATTCTCAGGATTTCAATGGAAACTACTGTCCTATCATCGATTAGATTAATATAAAGTTTTTGAGACTGATTTATAGTGGTATATAATTTCCACACAATGTCATTAATAAAATTTCTTAAGCCCCACAATATGGTGCCTACTGCCTCAAGTCTTATGTCTTTAGACATATATCCAATGTAATATGCTAACTTTGATTTTAAAAATTACATGCATAAAATTCTTGAGATTAACCACAGTCTATAAGAAAATCATTAATTTCTTTTACTATTTCACCCAGATAACATTCTTCAGATTCCACGTTTATTATATTTGCTCGAGCTCATGTTCTCTCTCTCTAATCATTTAAAGGAAATGTTGATATTAACTCCTAGAACAGATTATAAAACTGATCTGAAAAATTGCTACACCATCCTCTTTCTTATCACACACCTGCAGATGAAAAGAAGTAGTTCATGTTGATGCCACATTAGCTATGTTCCTCACCATATTTTTTCAACAAAGAATTTTGATGACCTTCACTTATTAGTGTCCTTTAAAGAAATTACTTAGGCTCAGCACTTTGTAATATTATAAATCTGAAAAAGCAAGGTAATCAGCAAGGTTACATCAAATCAACCATAAATTTGAGACTTAAATCAAACTATTTTGTTACCTTGAGAAACAAAACCAAATGTAACAAAACACAAGAAAAAACTGAACATGGATGGACAATTCAGGCCCAGCTTACTCTGTACAGTGAATTAAGATACATGTAGTTGGATAATTTTTCTCCACATAATAGTCACTCATTTTCAGTAACACCAAAAGATAAGGAAAGGTTTATCTACAAGTGAAAAGATGGAAATATTCATAAACACACTATGAACAGCTCTTGAAACTACTGTCAACATAAAAGGAATGAAAATTTTAACAGCCTATCTATGATAAGAACATGAAAAATCAATCAGAATTCAAAGCTTTCAGAATTTAAAAAGAAACAACTATCAGCTTACCCAACTGAGCAAACAAACTATAAAAATGGCGTGCTTATTTTCTTATCAGTATTATTAGTTGACTTTTGAGTCTCTTGTGGTTGCATATAAGAAAGTAGGTAAGTTTTTTGAGCATTTATTCCCAGCACTATTACCTGTCTTCTCTCCTGCCTGTTTCCTCTAAATTCATATGCTTAACTTTTTTCAGGTATTTCTCTTCTCTATTCAAAACCTTTCTTGATGTTACAATACTCACTTACTATATTCAAATTACAACACTATTATTATTACATTCTTTGGAGATCTTTTCAGAACCGATCCCATCCTCCAATCTTCCAAACTACATTGAGAAAACTCTTTCAAATATATTTAGTACAGCCCACAACCTCCGGAAAAGACTTGAGGAAGCAAAGACAATGAATAAGCATGCAACAGAAACCACAATTCAAAAAACAATTTACTGAAAAAGGTACAGATCAATGTTTTAGTGTATTGATGATTCTTAAATGTAATATTCAAGGAGAAGCACATAGGTCTTGCAGTTAAACAATGTAAAAAGTTTTATATACATTAACATCAGATACGATGATGGTGAGCATTACGATGACTGCAATGGTGGTGATGGTGATGATGATAGAGGTGGCATGATCTGATTCATTATTTTCAAACTTTTGAAACCCTTTCCTCAAAGTCACATGAACCATAAACTATGGAAACTTAAGGAAGCAGAATTTTAAAGACTAGCGGGAATCTTAATCCTTCCACATTTACAGATGAACACCTGAGGCATACAGAGGTTAACTGGCCTAAGTTCTTCTACTTCATCAGCAGCAGAACTGAGATGAGAACTCAGCTGTTGCTTCATTACACCACATCATGGCATCTCCACACTGCTTAAAATAAACTGCAGAAGTTTTAAATACTGTTCAGGTATGACTTATTCTGCTCAAATTCTTCTTTCCCTGCTCTTCAGTTCACAGAGTACTAGACATATATCCAATATACTAATGAACACATATTCTGAAGATACTGCAGAAATTAAAATTATAATATGGACACACAGGGCAAAATTACAGCATTGAATATTTTTGCAGATATCAGCAGATATTAACACAGAAGAAAGAATTAATAGGGACCGTAAGTCCACAGTACCTATTCCTTTAGAAAAGCAATACATGAAATTTTTATTCATTGGATTTTTGGTTCTGAACCCAACCCCGTCCCTTGCCACTACACCCCACCCCCAAAGTAGGGAAAGGATAAATGAAGTAATACTTAAAATCGGTTTGGAACTAACCATGCATGAAACATGAACTTCTGCAAAGAGCAGATGTTTGTTAAAAATTCCCATCTAGTCAGTTCTAGGAAGATTTCTGACAGTTCTGCTTTCTGTTCTGGAGGCTATATTTAACTTATAAATCTGAACTCAGATTATCTTTGGATTTGAATTTTCTTCTCTATTCTTTCAAGGAACTTGAAGTATGCTAAAAGTCTCTTTGGACTCCTAAATTAGAATTTTAATTTAGACAAAAAGGAAAGAAGACCACAGTTATCAGGTTAGAAAATTCAAAATCTGAAAATAGCTTATCTTCTTATCTTCAAGTGAGAGTCAGGATGTCTGCACTGACAGGCCTCGGACTGGTTTATTAATGACTCTACTGATCTATATGATATGTAATGTGAACATAAAACTATTTCTAATGCACTAGTTTGATATCAGATAAATAACTCACAAGCAGAAATCATGAAATAAGTCCACTTGTCTTAGAGAACAAAAAATTAGAAAAGTTATTTTGCTATTAAATTATAAATGCATCATTTCTCAGAATAAAAAAATCTAGGAAAAAAGGTATGTTTATTGTAAATAAATACAACAAAATAAGTAATTCTGAATTTTTTTATAAGAGTTGCAATGAAATAAGAAGAGAAGTGGTAAGAACAACCTCCCATTTTTCTACAAGGATTGTACAGATCTAAGTAGACTTATGGCTATAAGCAAAGGTACAATATTTTGCATGAAAAAATGAATCATCTTACAAGTATATAACAACTCAATTATAGCCATGACACACTTTCACACTTGTGATGGCCCCTCTCAAAATCTCCCCCTCTATTTTCCAAAGAAAGTAAGTATTCTGCCATCTATGAAAATCCAAACATTTTAATAAAAGCTTTGATTGTTACCGGAAAAAATTACCTGTTGTAAGTATCAAATATACCATGTTGTGAAAAGTTACTTTCAGGAAATCCAAATTTCTGAAAATAAAACTTTAGTACACTTGAGGTATAAGAATGGAATCATATGAAAAATTACCTTAATAATTTATGAAGAGACTGCTTGAGAAATTAAGGCGAACATTACCTTCTCCCCTTCATGAACATGAAGAAACATACAGTGAGGGAATGAAGAGTAAATCTTCATCTCAGATTAAGTAATACTGCCTACAATGAAGAAACACATAAAAGAAACTAGGACTTGCTTTTGCATTTCCCTTATTTAACCAACCTTTAGACGGTGGGAAAGGATGAGAAGGCAGTGAGTCTGAACAGAGTTCCAGTGGAAACTGCAGAAGTTCCTCATTATCTGTAGAGGCTTGAAAAGCAAAAAAGACACTAGTTATCTAGTAATAATCTACTGTTGACTTTCTGAAAATTAAGACTCTGGGGTGGCATGAGTATTCCTGCTCCCCTCTTTATTCTGCTTACTTCTCCATGGTTTTTCCCATGGGGACCCTTCAGCTGTACCATGCTGAGAATGAAGAGTATTGTGGTGAGGTTTGGAATGACAATGCATGTGAATCTCTTAGTAGCACACTGCCTTGAAAATTAACAAGCATTCAATAAGATGATTATTAGCTTACTCTTTGTGTCTTACTAGTTAGTAGCTCTGTGAATCTTAAGTTACTACCCATTGTCTTTGATATATATTTAAACTCACAATTATTTAATACATCTGTCTATCTGATATTCACTCAGTGTTGTATATGTAGAACCGTGTACAAGTCATCAAGTTAAACATTTTAGACTAACTGAATATTTTGTTTAGTCAGAAAATCATTAAACTTCATAAAATATACTCTTTCCCTCTCTTTTTCAGAAGACATAAATGGTTTTTAATAATTTGGGTTTCTCTGCAATATATTAACAATGGTTCTTTCTATATTTTATTTGATGGACAACTCTGAGACTCTGATGAGTACACTAGGACCTTTCTTAAGAAAAATAGATGATTTTCACCACCTTGAGTACGTTCCCAGATGCCTTGAAAACCTCTTTAGAGAGCCCAAGATAGGGACCTCCAAATTACTGCAAAATTAATGAACTATAACCTAAGTCCACAAAATAGCAGTACTCTCTATGTAAACATCAGTCAACCACTTCTTCATGTGTGAAAAATATTGAGTTAGTAGGGGGCCTCCCTGGTGGTGTAAGAGGTTAAGACACAACCTGTGGAGCCAGCCACAGCCACTGCAGCACAAGTTTGATCCCAGGCCAGGGAGCTACCCACATGGTACAGCAGACCTCTCCTGACTCGCCCGCTGCTCCCCTCAGCAGTGTATTTCAGTCAATCCGCCTGTTCTGTTGCCCACTCTGTCTCTGGTGAATCCTCTCACCCCCTACAACTCTGGCCTGTACCCCAGTTCTTGTATGCACAAATAAATAAATCTTAAAAAAAAAAAATATCAAGTTAGTAACATAGATATCTCATAAAGATAAACAGAAAATGTGGTCTTCAAGAGATAAGTTATTAATGGATTCTCCCTGTCCCCTGTATTTTATCACTGAAGTACAATGTAGGTGAACATGAACCATCCGTCATCAGTTTACCTCTTTGCAATGACTTTTCAACATGTGTTTTTGTGGTCTGTAAAGCCTGATTTTTGTCAAAAGTTATTGCAACTGCTGTGACTGTAACCTGGAATCATAAGAACAATATAATTAGCAAAATAACCACTGTCAAATTTACAACTTTTACCAATTTTTTAAAGAAAATTTACAAATCCTTTTTCAGAACCATGAACAACTTATACTAGCTGGCTGATGGGCCTAGCCTGGTTAACATTCTCAACCAGAATTACACATACCCTCTGATATTCAAACAACCAAGGTCAACATGTATTCTAAACCACAGTATTCAGAAGGAGCTCAAGAAACTTCTCTAAAAGATGGAGACTGGAGAAACTCCACATAAGCACACTTGCTACTGGACAGATCCCACAGCACACAGGTGGTCTACCTTTAGGTAACCAGAGTTCAGAAGAGCAAAATATACACCATGTGGTTGATTCAATCAAAGATTTGAAAGCAAAACAGTTTATCTACTGAAGGAAAAACTGTAATACTGAAACAAATAAAAGCCAGAAGTCTTTAACAACAGATTGAATCTCAGTGAAATAAGGTAGACAAAAAATACTGTTTGTTCTCACTTATATGAGTGTCTAAAACAAGCCACATTCATCTAGAGGAGGGTGTGGCTGCAGGATCTACATGGGGGAGAGGAAATGAAGAGATGTTTGTCACAGGGTATAAATTTCCAGGGATTTCATGTGCAGCATGGTGACTATAGCTAACAGTATAGCATGTGTGTAAAGTTTCTAAGATGGTATATCTTAATGTTCTTAACACCCCCCCAGTGGCAATTATTACATGAGGCAATGGAATTGTTAACTAGCTTTACTGTGGTAATCATTCCACTGTATACCTTTATCAGATCATCATGTTTGTGCACTTTAAGCATATACAATGGTATGTGTCAATTACATCTCAATAAAGCTGGGAAAAAACAGAGTGACTCTTAATTACCTGAATTAATTCATCTTCAGGCAGAGATACTGTAAAATTGACATGGCAAAGGCAGCAAGGGATCATAGACCGCAGTTTAAAATACAGGCTCTACAGAAGGAAAAAGAAAAATATCGGATGGTTTCACTTATAGCAGGAATATAGGGGAACCAAATAAAACATCAGTGTAAAAAAGAATTAATAGTATAAAGCACAACAAAGCAAAAACAGACAATTATAAATCAGAGACATATTGCAGGGGAGGAGGCGGGAGAGAGATCAGAGGGAAGGAGGGAGGAGCACAGGGGACTGAGGTGATGGTGCACGGGTGCATTGGTGAGGGAAACTCTATGGGGACTACACCTGAGGGGGTGGGGGGAAGCAAATATTGTTTAAAAATGAACAATGATGTAAAAAAAAAAAAAAAACTAGAGAAGTAGAGGAAACATTGAAGGCAAAGAGAACTCTATGAACAAAGGGACACAGATTTGGAAAGGTAGATGTTGAACACTAGCTGACTGGAGTACAGCTGTGCAAGGGACAGAGTAAGAGAGAATTATGGAAAAGTTGTTGAAGTCAGATTTATACTTCTTTAAAATCCTATTAAATGTGTGGGTTTTATTGTGCAAACAGTTACAAACAATAAAGATTTTGAACTATAAAAAAAATTTAAAAATACAGGCTCCATACAATAGAAAACATTCATAATATAATTTCTTTTATTTAAAAATTGGATAAAAACCCACTTTTTAATGCACATTTGGATACTTTAAAAGATTAAATCACAAAAGTTACAGGGGAAAAAAGACTTTAAAATTACACCATACAATAATTTTTATGAAGTTTAAATCTATGAAATAACTTAAAATATAATTATTTTATAGTTTTTTAAGTTAAAATGGAGAGGAAAACTTGAACACTTTTCTCATGGAGTTAAGATTGATATGCAAATAAAAATAATATTTCTGTAGTGTATTCCTGATAGACACTTTCCTTTTCTTAATTCTTAGTTTTAATTAAAATAGAACATTCCTACCTTGAGCAAATTTTCACAGAGATCATTAAAGTTCTTATTGAGAGCTTGATTAGTCAGGTTAAGGCTGCTTAATCGGATTACTCTTACTGATGTGAACATCTAAATATGGAGAGATAAAACATGTTATCTTATTTTTTTAAATTTAAGTACTGTAACAGTTGATAAAACAGCCAGTAATGAGCAATAATAACTAATGTGGCATGAAAAAGGATAACATTTTTCAATAATTTATTAAAAAATACGTATATTAAGAAGAAATTTGCTAAAAATAATTATATATATTTCCCAAAAATAAACAATGAAAGGTGTACCTGTATTTCAGAAGTCCAATTATTTATACCAGGCATAATTTCTGTATTGCAACTATAAAAGCCTGTCAAAATAAATCATAATTAAAGTTTATGGCAATATTTCATTTATTTTTGTGTTAAAGAATAGCATTTTTCAATTATTACACGAGGTTCTCCATGTATGAACCATTTATTATATTTTTGAAAATTAAATTTTTTTAACTCTGTAACTGCAGGATAGAATAAATTATCTACCTTTTTTCATGTTTAAGCATAAAAAGATTGAAAATTAGTTCCACTTAACTTCTAAGGTTAAGTATTTTTAAACTCTGTGTTTTCAGCTTTAGAGCAGCAAGCATGTGAAGGACATGACATTGATAAATCCTTTAGAATAAAGTTAGTACTACAATAATTAATGAAATATAATATACAAAGCTAATCTCATCTCAAAGGTAACTGTTTTTTGTTCACCTGAGGGAGGAGGAACATCAGTAAGTAGAGAATGTACATCTTCCATAGCATCTGTGTCATCAATCTGAAAATAAAAATTAAAGCTATTAAATAAGTAGTAAATATATAATCCTTTCAAATTTTTAAGAATTTTTTACGTTGTTATTTATTAAATAGAAATATAAGCATCAAGGAAAAGTAGGGCTATTTTCTCTTAAGTTAAATGTAAAACTTAAAAAACTTCTGTCATCTGTAAAAGCATTCCATCATATTACAAATACTTCTAAGTGAAATATTATTTATATAATAAATTTACTGAGTTTTTTAAAAAAGACCCTTTTCTCAAAACTTTTTGAGGGTATATTTCAAAAAACAAAAAAATTATAAGCAATGACATCAATTTTCTTGAATTAATAAAATGTAACTTTAAAAAAAACTTTTTACTAAAAACATAATTGCTCCATGAGAGACCTACATTGAGATAAATTTAACATATGCTTGAAAAAATAAGTCCAAATCCTGTTCTCCTACATTATGATACTCCAATGTGAGTATCCTGGCTCTGTGAAAATACCTGGCTGGACCTGATCGAATCTCATGCCTACATCTCAGTTTTAAGTTCTAAAGCACACTCTCCAAGTCCCCTCAAATCACCCTTTGGATTTAAAGAATCACTTTTGCTTCTTCATTGGAGCTACCCACATTTTCAAGTCAATACTCCCTGAAATCCATCCCACATCTCAAGCCTTATCCAACCACAAACCTGTCTTTGTCCCATTGCTTCCTGAATCTGCACCTTGCCCTTGGTCTCCTGCCACATTTGATGCACCTCTGTTCTCCACTGAGCCAGGATCTTAGGGTTGGACAGACCAGCAATGCTCTAGACTAAACTTCAGCTAACGCTTAAAATCATCTGCAGAATTTGTTAAGCAGATTCCTGGACCCCACCCCAGATAATACAAAAAGAATAGTTCTTTAATTTCTAATTTAAATTCATTCAAGTCCACAGAAATAGCTCTAAAAGTTTACCATTTTAATTTTATTTGAACCCATACATTAACTTTTCCATGTGCATAAAATATACTACCAAGTTGATATTTTCAAGTTTGTTGCAATAACTATAATAAAATATTCTCTTGATAGCTATAATAGTTGCAAAGACAAGAAAGTATCACACCAATTTAGCATGTGACTGTAACAATGCACATCTTCTTTCAAAAACCTGAAGAAATTTGTTCAGTGCAATATACCTCCAAAACAAAAGCGTCTTTTTTTCCGTGTGAAAGGTCCAATTCTGTAACCTCATCAGAGCTTTCTGACTGAGATCTCAAAAGTCTTGAGCGCTGTCTAGGTTCTGGTATAGGTGATCCTATAATCTCTTCAGTTATCTCCTAAAAGAAAAATAACCTGGTTTATATCATATTAGACAGTCTTTTTTCAGTTGGGTTTTAAACTGTTATATTAATAGGTAACAAACTGAAGCTGGGGAAAGTCTGTACAATATATTCATAGCCTATATTTAAGTCTAACCTCTATGACTAATTAACTTTTTATAGAGCACATAGGTACTTCCTTTAATCAGTAATAGCACCTTGATGCACTTATCCAGAAACATATAGAACTGTCACAGACACACAGATACAGCAAGGAAATACTAGAATCTAATGTACACAGCAGACACTACAATGAATAATGGAATTGGCAGTCCTTTCAGCTCAGAGGTATTTTCTACATAGCATTTTAAAGTTCTAAGAGTCCATGTCCTCGGGCCTCCCTGGTGGCACAGGGGGTTGAGTGCAGCGCTGTGAAGCTCTCTGCAGCTTCTGCACCATGAGTTCGATCCCTGGCCAGGGAGCTACTCACATGGTGCAGCAGATCTCCTGACTCGCCCGCTGCTCCCCTCAGCAGTGTACTTCAGTCTATCTGCCTGTTCTGTTCCCCACTCTGTCTCTGGTATATCCTCTCACCTCCCATGCATCTGGCCTGTACCCCAGTTCTTGTAATCATAAATAAATAAATCTTTAAAAAAAAAAAATTGGGCCTCCCTGGTGGTGCAAGGGGTTAAGCACTGCACTATGAAGCAATCCGCAGCCTCTGTAGCACGAGTTCGATCCCTGGCCGGCCAGGGAGAAACCCACATAGCGCAGCAGACCTCTCCTGACTCACCTGCTGCTCCCCTTAGCAGTGTATTTCAGTACATCTGCCTGTCCTGTTCCCCACTCTGAAACTGGTGGATCCTCTCACCCCCCGCATCTCTGGCCTGTGCACCAGCTCTTGTATGCATAAATAAATAAATCTTTAAAAAAAAAAAAAAGGGCCTCCCCTGGTGGCACAGCAGTTGAACGCTGGGCTGTGAAGCTGCCTGCAGCCTCTGCAGCACCAGTTCGATCCCCAGCCACCGGCGAGGGTCCCACACGGTGCGAATGACCTCTCCTGCCGCACCCACTGCTCCCCTCAGCAGTGTATTTCGTCAGTCTGCCTGTTCTATTCCCCGCTCTGGCTCTGGTGAATTCTCTCACCCTCCAAGGCTTCTGACTGTACCCAGTGCTTGTATAAACAAATAAATAAATCTTAAAAAAAAAAAAAAGAATACATATTAAAAAAAAAAAAGATTTATGTCCTCAAATAGGATTCTGATCTCTTATATTTTTTTCTAATCCAGTGGTAACTTTTCAAAGTGCCACATAATAAAATGTGGAATATGTGTAAGTATATTTAACACTTATATTTTGCATGTATTCAATGTGCAACTTATTAAGTTAAATAAACTTTGGTAGTTAGCAATAATAATCTTTTCGAGGTCAGTGTGTGGTATGAAACCTGTAAGAATTCATTTACTTTTATGTATTGTATAGCCAAAGGCCAGAACTAACTAGAAGTTCTAAATACCTGTTGGCCACAAAGAGTATCAGGAAATATGGATCTGTAAGCACAAATACAAAAGACATAGTCTATCATTGCTGAAAGAGAGCTATCTTTAAAAAGGAAAAAAAAGGAAATTGTCAGAGAAAGATTTTCCAACATATAGTTTCAAATGTTCATTGCAGAAGAATGCTAGTATATACCCTATATAAGACTAGCACCACACAGCTTTATGACATAGCTATCTATAGACAGTATAAATGGATACTTTCACATCTGTGTATCTTATTTGCACACAAGTCAAGCTGTCCTCTATCTGTGTGACAGGATACCTTATGGTAATAACTGCACCAGTGAGGACGAGCTGCAGTTCAGAGGCACCCACCTGAGTGAGGAGTCTGTCCAGGTCAGTTATTTGACTCACAGTGTGATGTTCTTCCCACTAATGCCACACATCTTTTTATAGTGTCAAAGCAATTTAAAATCACTGTATCATGCACCTAACAAATATAACTCTCCAGTATTTAATATATCTTAAATTCATAATGATGTTGCATCACTGGTACTGCCATTCTAAATGTTCTACACTGCTTTTATACCTTTGGATGATTGAATTTTCTGCATTTCAGTAATGCTGAACCTCAGCATTAGAAACACTATTCAATGTATTGAGAAAGAAATCCAATAGCAGCATTCACATAGTGGGGACTATCTTCCTAAGAAAAGCAACACTGTGATCCACAGTGAGGGCATACATTGTTTAGAAAATTGAAAAGAGGACCTCCCCTGGTGGTGCAGGCAGTTGAGTGCAGTGCTTTGAAGCTGTTCGTAGCCTCTGCAGCACTGGTTCGATCCAGGCCAGCCAGCGAGGGTCCCACATGGTGGGGCGGACCTCTCCTGTCTCACCCGTTGCTCCCTTCAGCAGTGTATTTCGTCAGTCTGCCTGTTCTGTTCCCCGCTCTGTCTCTGGTGAATTCTCTCACCCTCCCGTGCATCTGGCCTGTACCCCAGTTCTTGTATAAATGAATAAATATATCTTAAAAAAAAATCGAAAAGAAAGCAATGATATGAGTATCATATCATGTAGGAAGCTGGTAATTACCCTCATACCTTGGCTTTGTCAAATAAATTCTGAGATGTTATGCTAAAAGACTATTAGAGTCAAGAGCTATAATTAAAAAAAAGAAATTATAAGATTCACAAATTGATTACTCCTTTTGTGGAAACACAGTTATACTCCATATAATGAAATCCATATATTCTGAAATTTTAAAAAATCATAAGATTTATTCCCTCCTCTAAAAGATAGCAGTAAAGTAAAAGCTCAATAAATATTTATTGAATGAAGTAGCATAAATCATTCTATTTAAATATGTCCCTGTCATCAAGGGGCTTGTGTGGTAGGAAATGAAGAGAGACATGTGAAACCTCATCAATACTATGTCCCTGGCACTATGACAAAAGCACAGGCAGGTACAACAGGCACACAATGAGGTGGAAAGGGGCCAGTTCTCCCTGTGGTAGATCAGGATGGAATTAGAGTTACCAACACTACTAAGAAACAGGGTTCAGTTCACACTGTAAAACTGATCATTGAGTCCTAACATACAGTTTTCAAATCATTCTCCCCAATGGACATCAACAGTAGATATTCAAATATCAACCTACAATTACAAAAGAAAAATAACATACTGCAATACAAGCAGTCAGTGCAGTGTTGCAATGGAAAACCTTAATTTAACAAAGATGGTTTTCAAGTATTTATGTATGAACACTTCGATATTTTTATTGAATTTAAAGCAGCTCTATAGCAGCACTGTTCAACAAAAATATAAAGCAAGTCTTAAGGTAATAAAGTAAAAAATATGGTATCAATTTAAAAAAAAAAAGTTGTTTTAAACTCAATATATCCATTTTCAACATGCTATCTATCCAAAAACACATTCATGAGGTATTTCACTTTCCTTTTTGTACTAAGCTTTCAAAATCCACTGTATATCTTAAACTTACGATACATCTCAATTTAGATCAGCCACACATCACATGCTCAATAACCACACACAGCCAGTATCTATCACATGGAATAGCACAGCTCTAGCTAAAAACTTTAAAATTCCTCCTAGTTTAACAACTTTTCTAGAAAGTAGTGAATCTGAAGCTAGAATTCAGCTGCACACTATTCTAGAAGACCAACCAAAATTCACTATATACACAAAATTAAATTCTAATAAAAATGTTACTAATGTTGGCCACTTTCATTTTACTGAAGCATTTAATTATCAGAGACTCATAAAAACAAACAGCTTCCCTCTAAGGCCAGCGGCACTCTCACTGCCTTCACACTGTGGCCATCAGGCTTCAGTAGAGCAGGTAGCACTGGGAGAGCTACTCCACTTTGATGAGAAGACGGACCATGGAAATAACTGGTAGGAAAATTATAAGAAGCTAAAACTGGAAAACTGTATTTTTTTCACATTTTTACTGTAGATAAGCAATCCTTTTTCCAAAAAAAAAATTAGACCATTCTAGTCATTCAATGAGGATTGAGAGGCTACTACCAGGAAAAAATGCCCGAGGCACTAGGAAGACAATCCTGGTGGAGCTTTATTCTACTGAGAGTAACAAGCAATAGACAAAATTCAAAACTACAAACACAGATACACAGATATGAGTAACAGAAAACAATAAAACACTTAGGCAGATAGAATGTATCAAAAGTTGACAGCAGAATTATAATAAGGGCTGTTCCCCCTAAGAAGGAGACAGCTGAGCCAAGATATAAAGAGCAGTGAAAGGATGAATCATGAGGAGAGCCCATCTAAATAAAAAAATGTTTTATGTTCAAAAAAGATCATCTAAAAATAAAGTAATAACTAAACAACAACTTAATGTATCCACAGTGTAGATGTATTTTACTTACTGGAGGATTGATTTCATATAACTCTTTGTTCTTAGCAATCGTGTCATTGATCTTCTTTTGCATATGAGATATATGCTGTTCATATGAGCCATCGTTAGGAGTCTTTCCGGCAATCTGAATACCACCAGGCGTTGGTAAAGCTGCTAAGTATACACCTGTGGCCGACTTGTAAACATAATGGAGAAGAAATCAGAAAAAAAATCTAAAGAATAATGGTTATTGGGTTTCCTTGGTGACCTAAGGGTTAAGTCTCAGTGCTATCACCACTATTGCCTGGCTTGAGTTGGATCCCCGGCCAGGGAGCAACCCACATGGCACAGCAGACCTCTCCTGTCTCGCCCGTTGCTCCCTGTAGCAGTGTATTTCTGTAAATCAGCCTGTTCTGCTCCCCACTCCATCTCTGGTGAATCCTCTCACTCCCCACCCCCTGCACCTCTGGCCTACACCCCAGGTCTTCTATGCAAAAAAAAAAAAAGTCATTAAGTTTTCACATTTGGGAATACTAGGAGGAGGAGCCCTGCAGGGAAAAGTTCCTCAGCATCAGTGTATGCACAGGATATATGTGGGAAGGCACAGAAAAATCTAACCAGCAACAAGGTTGGCTGCTTCTGGTACAGACCCTGGCAGGTAAGGGACAGTAGCAAACTTTCAAACTTTTTACCTTATGATTGTAAGAAATAAATTTATTGAAAAAAATAGTTTCTAAAAAGTAAGTTTTTCATGAATAAATATATAATCTACCTTTTAAGTGGCAAAGTAAGGGGAAACATTTACAAAGCAATGTGAAATCCAGAAAGGATAAGAAATTCACTCAAGATCACAGTCAACAAATGTGCAAGAAGAGATCTGAATCTGCTTCTCACTCTGAATCCACAAATTTTACACTACACCAGCCCACCCCCATAATTACTAAGATGAAAACTTTACTTGAGTCAGATTTAAATATTTAATTAAATGGTTATTAGTATTATTATTAAATGACTACAGTACTGCATACCATCAGTACTGGGAAATGATTAAGGGAAATGCAAACCAAGATAATATGTGCATGTGTGGGTATGTGTGTGTGTGTGTGTGTGTATATATATATATATACACACACACATACCTATGTGCATGTATGCTGACATGTTTATATAGCAAAGCAAAAAATATATAGAAATATAGATATCAAATTATTAACATCAAAAGTGAAATGGGGAAAAGAGAAAACAAGTTTTTTACCTCTGGATATTTTACATTTTCATATTTTTAAATTATCACTTGCCAGTTTTGCTGAAGTCCATCCTAAAAGGAATCTAACACTATGATGAAGTCTGTGCAGTATATGGAACTGCTCTCCAAGAGCTCTCCTGTTTGTGATTAGTGTCCATCCTGCATCATGCCCCAGACTAGGCATGACCTCCGTGCCTACTGCACTCTCCTGAACTGCATTCATTAATGAGACAACCAGTTCAGAATGGGCGAGAACACAAAACCTCTGGAAACAGATAGGCCTGGGCCAGAAAAACCAGTTTGAAAAATGTAACTGTATTGCTTCGGACAACTCTCAACCTATCACAGCATCCTTTTCTCCTCTTGTAAAGCAAAGATAATGCACATTCCTGTGGAGCAGCACAGTGCCACTCAGCAGAGATTAGCCATCATGGAAGCTACTCTAGAGACTTTGAGATTTAAGTGCACAAGTAAAAACACAGTGCCATAAGCATCACTGATGACCAAGAAGGGAAAGATGAGTAAGAATCAGGAAAGGTAGTATTGAAAGCAGCAGTGAAGGATTATACCAGGTTACTGACTATTATCTGGGGCTCAAACAGCCTAAGAGTTTGCTACAGCTGGCACAACATATTATAAGCCTTTGAATAAGTACTTAGTTCCTACAGGCATGCATTAATAACTAACCTTGTATTCAGCCCAAATTGCATATTAATGTTACATTCTCACTATTAAGCAGGAGAGTGTTCAACCAATCAACAATAAACACCTTTTCCCCCAAATTAATGTAAATGTTAACTATTTTAATTAAAATCATATTACTTCCTTTAATCATCAGAATTCTCTTTTGATAAGAAACTGTGATACCTAATCAGTTTATCATCACCATACAATTATCCCCTACATACAGAAATTTACACATTTGCTCTTATACAAAATCTACACTGCAGAAATCACAAAACAAAACCAAAACATCTAAACTTACCGCTAAGCCCATTAACATATTTTCACCCACTGTGATCTGAATTCTGAGTCCAAATAATGCATTCATTCCTTTGAGTTTTAGTTTATTCATTAGCTGAGTATGCACTTCATATTCCATAAATGGTAACAAATTACTGATAGCTGTGGCATTTGCTTCTGCCTGTGCTTTCTTTTTTAAGCGACATAACCTGTAATGAAAGTAATTTAGTAAGAGAATGGTATTCTTGATATACCTTAAGAAATATCCAATATTTAGAACTTTCTTAAAGTGAGACAATATTTAATTGTTTCAAATGAGTTTATTAAGTTATATCAATAATCTTTTCCATCACCTATTCATTATACAGGCTTCTGCTAAAAGTCACAGTTCAATAAACAAAAAGAAAAAAATCTCAGGGCCTTCCTGGTGGTGCAAAGGGTTAAGTCTCAGCATTATAAAACAATCAGCAGCCACTGAAGCACGAGTTTGATCCCTGGCCAGGGAGCTAGCCCACAAGGTGCAGCAGACCTCTTCTGTCTTACCCACTGCTCTCCTCAGCAGTGTATTTCTGTCATTTTGCCAGTTCTGCTCCCCATTTTGTCTCTGGTGAATCCTCTCACCACCCCCCCCCAACATCTCTGGCCTACACCCTAGCTCTTGTGTGCATAAATAAATCTTAAAAAAAACCTCAAACTCTTAGAAATGAAATAAATATTGACCAAAATTACCAGAGAATGTAGGTTTCATAACTGCATGCAATCATAAAAAACTATTTTGTTTTGGGGGTATTGAAAAATCTAATAAATTTGAATTTCCCACTTTGTAACTTCAAGGACTACACAAAAGGGCCCTACAATAAACTAAGTCTCCAAAAGTCTATACTTTAATGATGAGGGTGTAATACCATTCAAGCATACTGAGTCACATCCCTCGCTTTCAAGAAGCTAATTATCTCTGTGGTAATAAACACTTGTACAGAACTTAAATGCTTAAATGTTTAAACTGCTTTTGCATTTAAACTTAGCATTTTATAAAGATAGTATTTTTCTTCCCGATTTCACTTATGATAAAATACAAGGCACAGAATTGCCCATCCTGCCCAAGACATGCAGCTAGGAAACAGATAGATATTTGGAAATAAAGGGCTATTTCCAGTCATACCCCATACTCTTTCAGGGACCCCAAATATTGTTTCCACAAACATACCTGGCCTGAATAAGACAACCTTTCCCAATAACTGTGGCATCTACTGGGAGGTCTATTGTGGTAAAGAGAACATCAGGGACTTTTTGTTTCCTGCAGTTATAGCAATAGGTGAGATGAGCTGGAAATGGCATATTCAGTTCATCATATGGTATATGGCAGAACCCACAGCCTGCAGGCAGGTTTTCTTCTAGCCTATTTGAATACATTGAGAAAAAATGTTAAGGCTTTTTGAAAATGTTTCAAAAACATACATTACATATATAGTACTTGCATACAAACTACACCACACTTTCCTCCACAGTAGATAAGAGTACCAACGTGACCAAAAAGAATTAGTAATGACTATGAAATCAGAACCATATACTTTCTTTTGAGAGGAAAAGCTTATACAATTATAAAATCATTTTGCATCAATGCATATGTTTGATGACTTATCACCTAACAAAAACTATTATACCAAGGTTTTCACTTTGGTATTCAACACAAAAACAAGTGGTTGGATAGTAAAGGTTTATCTCCCTACTGGCTAGAAAATATAAGACAAATACAATCATAAAAAATTTCCTAAGCAAAAACTTTAGCCAATCTACCAATTTGAAAAAACATTAAGATTATAAACAAATATATCTACAAAGAAAAAAAGTACATGAAAAATAGACAGATCTATACTCTGTATAATCTCCAAAGACTGTTTGAACATTTCTGAGAAACCAAACACCTGTGTTTCATAAACAACATATATATAAACCACATGCCTCTTAGTCACTGTAAATGTTTGTTGTAACATGCTATTTATAAATTCATTTTAGAATGATTATTTTTTCATTCATTTAATTAAAGGAAACTAGGAGAACAGGAATGGAAACAGAGAGAAGCTACATGCAGAAATCCAGACTCTCATACAAACCATCTTCTGGGGCTCTGGAAAAAACATGGTTTCTCAGTTCTTTCTAGTAAGTATTCCTTTAGTAGTATTCTAATAAAGTAGTCCTTTAGAAGTTGGAACTTGCCAAGCATACACATTTTTTTCAAAAAGGGAAAGGAAACTCACAGGACACCTTCCTGGAAGCCTAGAAGCAAGGCTTTCTGCAGATTCTGCACATACATTATTTCACTGAATTTACACACTAACTCTCTAACTCAAATTACTGCCAGATATTATTCTTTTATTGCTGAGATGGCATTCTCTGTATTAGAAGAAATGGGAAATCAGCAGATCTGAGTGAATTTGTGCGAGCCTGAGCAAATCATTTAACTTCTCAGAGCTACCTCTATGAAACAGGAATAACAGTATCTATCTAGAAAGATTCCTTTTATTTTTTAAAATTAAGGAAGAAAAGGAATGCCCAGCAGACAGCGACAAGAATTATTCTACTTTGCCTGAAACCTACCTGAGATGCTAAGCAACTTGCTCAGTCATACTAAGAACTGAGCAGCAAACTTCATCTTTAATTTCAATTTGAATCCAAAGCCCAAGTATTATGAGGGGTCACAAAAGGATGAGAACTGGAGCAGTTTTTAACTAAACAACTGACACAAATTTGAACTTAAGTGGTGTAACTTGTTAAGAAATAAAAAATAAAATGGCATTTTTGAAAGCATTTGAAATTTGCAATGTACAAATGGGACTCTCTGAATAGTGATATCACAGCGAATTTTCCTCTTCTACTCTCATAATTTTCAAGTTTTCTCAAGGAAACCCTAGTACTTCTTTAGCAGAAAAAAAGGGGTTTTTGTCTTTTACAAACAGATGGCATCTGTTACTCTGGAGAGCCACATCAAAGAATTCACTGTATCTATGCAAGTCACAGTACAAAGGAAAAAAAAAGCAAGCTGCATGGGACAGGTCACTGCTACATTGGCTTCTCTGTGCTCAAGAATGAAATCAACTGTGAAAGAACTCTCCTGCTGCACTAGGACAACTCACTGGAGAAGTCAGTTTTTCGATAGAATATTCCAGTTGTTTAATATACTTCAAAATCGACCACCTTCACCTTCCTATTTATGATTTTAATGTCTTGGAATATAATAGGTCAAAGTTCACTTTTAATACCACCAGAAGAAGAAACTGACCAATATCTTCTGTTTGCCTCCCAAACTGAAAAAATCTTTTTTATTATATAAAGACTTGCAAATGTCTAGTATATCTGGTCTGACAAAGAATATCTTCGCTTTTTTCCTTATTAAATACTAATGTAGTAAATACTGGGGAAAAAGCAAGTATGTACACTGGGGGATAAGGGACAATTAAAATTTACATTATCCAGGTAGACTGTGATACGAAACTACTCATTTTCTCTCTCCATCCATCCATCCATTCTGATACTTCATCTGCTTGTGAAAAGCAGATTAAAGAGACCATGAATAAAATAAACTGAAAAGCAATCTCATTCCATCCAGTGTTTTCACTTCACTATTACATGTATTACAGCCATACTTCACTGTTTATAAAGCTTTTATATATAATTTTGGTAAAATACATTGCTTTATTTTACTAAATTAAGAATTTTCTTTGTAAAAATTTTTCACGACCTTTTTCTGTTTTGGAGGTGAGACAAAAGGAAAGGAAAAGTCAAATAAAATAAATTATTTCTCTACTGTGCCAAACTAAAAACTGTATACTTGAAATTCTTCATTCGGTAGTTATTTATGTCATAGTTATATATGACACTTATCAAGACACTGAAAAAAATAAAACATGCAATAAAGTGCAGAATCCAAGACTTCTTTGTTGCTATAGGTCAGTTAAAGTTCAGTAAAGTGTCTGGTCCTGATTATTAACTGTACCACTGTTACCCACCCTCACAGAGAAAAACCACCCTGGTTCTAAGGGAACAAAGTCCACCTCTCCTTTCTCTGCCCTAATGGAAAATAACCCCGGCTGCCATGACCACCTCTGTTCCAAACAGCCCTCCACGGTGCCATCCTGCAGAAATCTAGGGTTCAGTACAGCTGCCGTGCCGGATGCAGATAAAATACAGACCTCTTCACTAGGAGAGAAAAAAACACAAGTTCACATTGTTAAGTCTCACTGTAAAAATGCTAAATATCAAAGTGATAATAAAGCTCATGATTTAAGTTCAAGTTTTACTATACTAAATATTACAGGATTACTCCCTTAACCTAGGTTAGAAAATAGCAGTAATGCTCTGCTATTAAAATAGAGGGCAAGCATTCTTTATTAAAAACTGTAATTAAAAGGCTAAGTATAATATATTCACAATAGATTGCTTTAAAATGTGGTAAAGCTGAAAGATTAGGATATTTAAAAATAAGTGTTAATCAAATATATTGTTGAATTCAGCAATGATCTATTGTAGAGTAATAAAGAACACTTCGAATGCTTATTAAATTTTATGAAAATTATTCTAAAATTAAAGCTATATAAATATCTGTATTGCTATAGCTTAATTTAAACTTAATAAGTGTTTAAAAAATCCAAAATACACTAGAGTTAAAACTACATTTTTATATGATAAAAACCAATTTTCAAAAGAATTCTTTGAAACTCTTTATTACATTTCCCCCAACTTGAAGGCTATAGAAGTCATTAATCAAAACTATTACTGAATGGGATCATAGAAAATGAGGAAATGATAGCATAAGTGACTAAACGCAGAAAACAAAGTATAAGTATACCAGAAACCTAAGAAATACTGAGAGAAATAGTCACTTGCTCTGTAAGGGAACAGTGAGAAGACAGGAAGAAAACCTGGAGCCAAGGAGGTATCTGAATCCAAGTTCCAGAAGAGCAGAAGTGCATTTCAAGTTCAATCCAGTAACAATGAAAGGGGTTAGAAAAAAATTAGTAAAATGGGATTAAAATACAAAGATTTTTTTGAGAGCTAAAGGAAAAAGAAGCTTGCATCTGATGAATTAAAACTTCTAAGTAAATTAATAGGACTCATTTCTATAAATGCCTGACAAAAATGTGACCTACCTCCAGGCACAGTGAATCTCACCTCTGGCCTCTTTCACAAGTTCTTCTTTAAAAACTGAGCCTTACTGAGCCTTCTCCCTATGCATTCACTCTTATTTTAAATAATTCACACTCGTGCACCAAGATTCAATTCAAGCATCAGCTATTTCACTGATACTTTCTTCCAATCCTACTTCCAATTTCCAATCCTGTGGGACTCCCCAAAGCATCTGGGACATTGCTATATATTTCCTAACTCTCCAGTGAATGTGAATTTGATGGTAAGGATTGTCTTTTATTTATTTTTAAATTTAATTTATTTTTTTTTTAATTTTCTTGCATCATTGTTCATTTTTATACATTAATTGGTTTCTCCCCTCAGAGAGACAACTGTCTTTTAAAACAGTGTTACAAGCTGACCACAGATCTGAGGCATATAGCAGCAGAGGGAGAAGAGGGCTCAAAACAGGAGAGAAGCACACAAGGGAATATGGCGGTGTTTCATGGGTGATATGATGGTGGGAGAACTATGAGGACTATGAAAGAAAAAATAATCAATTGATTAATAAAAAGAGAAAAAATAAAATTCTGTCACTAGATATGAAAGTGTACAACTCTAAATCCAAAAATAAGGCAAGACTGCTAGGGAAGTAAGACAGGATAAGCATAAGAAAGCAGTTTAACAAGAGTAGACCAGCTTACCATGGGACTAGAACAATTCAAGTGTTTAATACACCGTGCACAAAGGAAAAGAAAGGACTCTCGGAAGATGAAGTAGCATGGTCTGTAATGTTAACATTTCTATAATCATTTTTCTCAAACAATGATCTTGCCAGAAGCACAAGAGAATTATACACATACTAGTTGGCTGTAAAAATTATCCAAGAGTAGAAGGTGGGAAAACAAGAAAGCAGAAGGTCAAAGAGTTTCTAGATGATACCTATTACACACTTTTGGAAGAGCTGATAGTTGGGTTAAAGGATAGCAGAGAGCAAGTCAGAACCAGAGTGAGGAAAGGAAAAACTCTTAGTTAAGAGAAGGATCAAAGTAGGTACAAGAATAAATGTAATGGTAGAAAAATTATTAAGTTGTGATTCAAGAGTGAAATTTCATAGTTTGAAATTTTAAACAAGGTAGTTACAAATAATATTTAGGTCTGAAGTATGGTTGAAGTCAAGTAAGAATATAGGCCTTGAGGATGAAAAAGTTCAATGTCAGGCTGTCAGAACAAAGACAACCAACAAAGACTGCAGGAGATCACAGAGAGCTAAGTAAGGAAGGCAAGAGACTGTTTTGGAGGAAGATAAGTCTGATCTGTGGAATGGCATGGACTTTAAAGGCATGGATAAAAGCTAAGAGAATACAAGTGCTTCCTTAACATGGCAGAGTTAGTAACATAATTTGTTGGCAGGAGAAAGTTAAGTTACAGTTAGTAAAAAGCAAAATGAGTTTAGGGATGAACTTAAAAGACATATGAGAGTTAATTTACAATGCAGATCAAGCATTCCAAAGACCCCAGTGGAATGAGAAGAGTCATAAACTGGAGTAGAGTGGGCCTACGGTTACTACTTGCTATGTGGCAGAATTACATTCTTATTTTAATCCTTCAATAACCTTAACTGATAGGTGGTATGATCTCAATTTCAATGTATAAATGGAAACTCAGAAGAGTAGAGTAACCTTCCCAAAGTTGCAGAACAATTAAGTGCAAAAGTGGCACATGAACTTGGGCCTAACAAACTCCAAAGCCCCCTCTTCCTGGAGCACTCCACTATGCCGTTTTTCTCCATTTCTGCAGAAAGTTTTCCCCCTTTCAGATGGCAATCTGTAAGTTACAGCATCTAGAAAATCAAGTCATTATTATCATTTACCAGATGCTAGTTGATTCACTGTAGCCCACTACAGCATGACAGCCTAATGCTTTAGCATGTGATTTTATTTCTTGTCTGATTTCTGCCCACCATGCATCGCGAGTTTCTGGTTCATCTGAAAAATAAATTTTAAATCAGTTCACTACTCAACACATATTGTCTATATAACAAGAAATGTTTAAAATAAATGTACTCTGGAAGACAAAATAGTGTCCCACACAGATTTTAAAACTTTAATCTTTAAAATGTTATTTCTCAAAAATCTTATTGACATTTTATTTAATGCTACTTCTCACAAAATTTAACACTTTAAACTTGATTGCTAGAAAACAATCTAGTCTTGTTTGCATTATTACTTTAAGGGGCATCTATAGGAATGTATTTTATTGGCTACAACTTAAAATGGAGACCCAGAGTTCCCAGATCCTAATCTTAAACTGAGAGAAGATCCTATGTGTCACCTCAGTGAGTGAACACCTTATGTTCACTCATATCCATAAATTTCATTTAAATTCAGATTTCATTTCATGGTCTCTATTTTACAACCCACTAGACTCTGGATTATCTCCAAGACAAAGATTATACTGTGTTAAAGAGAGAATGCCATCTATAGTCACCAGTCCACAAGATGTGGGTTCTAAAAGAGAGGCAAGAAATAAAGGTACTAGGCAGTTTAAATAAAGGAAACAAATACATTGAAGAAATCAAATTATGTCATTATATAAGGAAAAATTTCAGATGGAATACTATAAACTCCATAATTAAGAAAATGCCTTACAACCACAGAATAGTATCTTATTACCAAAGGGGAGCCCAATATTGCTTATAATGGAGCATTATAAGTGGAACATCTGTCACACATACTTCCTGATCACTTGCGTTGAGCTGCAAACTAATGGTGAATAACAGCTGCAAATTACAGTAACATTTTATGTGCAAAGATGATAAAAACAGAAAGTCTATAATCAGCATATCTTAATTTGTTTCTTTTTATGCCAATTCCACTGGAGACAATTTTTGAAATAGACAAAGTTTAAATCAACTCTAAATAGGATGCTAAGCGCCTATTGTAAATTTTCCACCTAAAAAGCACTCTTAAAATTAGAAATCAAACAATCCAAAAACTTTCTATTTTTGAATTGCAGCATATATCCAGTTTTCAAAATGCTTTTCAAAATAAGTAAAATAAGTAGTATTATACTCACTAGTAAAATATGAAGACAGCAAAGTAAGGAAAGGTTAAAGGGGCTGATATAGCTCATATTCCTATGGTGCTATTTTGTTTCCTCCACAGGGAGGAAAAAAGGGAGAAATGAGGAGATAAAAGTCAGAACTACAAATGATGCCAGCCATTTCTTGAATTACATTTTTGGATCCAAGAGAGAGCTACCCTAAAGCCTTCTTTCAGAAGAAAAGAAAGAAATGCAGACTCCAGGAAACTGAGGAAAAGATCAAAGTATGAGATAAAAATGAAGGAAAAGAAATAGAAAGACTACAACACAGTGTTAGCAGTCAATCTTATGAATTAAGAAATGTGAGAGACAATTTGGTGGCCCTGTTCTGCAAACACACTAAGTGTTAAAAAATTTCTGCATATCCCTCATTCAAATATATACATTAACAGCACAAATACACTTTCAAATCCATTCCCTAAAGTGACTTTGTAGATCATAAGAAAAAACTACTAGTAAAGTAGTTGCTCTAACCTATCAAACTATTTAGGAGTCTTCAAAAATAAACATTACAAATAATAATTAAAAATTCTCAGTTTAGAAAATAATTATTTTCCAGAAGGAAAAAAAAGGAATAAAATTCAAAGTCTAACTTTCTTAAAAGCACTAGAAACCTGTTACTTGCTTTTTAAACCATTCTGGGTTTAAAGTACTATTTGCTAACACAAGTAGTTGTATGCTACATTTTTATAAAAATAGATCTTCTCACATTAGGCTTTCCTACATCTGTGCCACAAGTATTACATGATACTTTTCTTTTTAAAAAATAAAATTCACAGAAAGTAATCCATTATACTGTTTTATAAATTAATGAAAAATGAAGGAAGCTACTTATTTTTAGCTCAAAATATATTTACAAATGGCCAGCATGTCTAAATGGGAAAGTATGTAATAATAATTACTATGAAATACATGTAACCACATAAAATACAAAGTTTATTTATGTCAAACTTACCTTGATGTAACACATAAAATCAGATAATTAAACCAAACACTATGAAAGAATAAGTGGCTGATTTAAAAAAAACATAAAAACAAAAAGCTGAATGCAGCGCAAGTGGAGCATTCATATTCTTCTGACAAGTTCACAAGCAGCCTTTATTTTGACAATGAGCCACACAGTTGCACATGGGATGCCGTTGTTGGACTTAAAGTATTTACAAGTTGAATCAAAGATAAAGAGCTACGTAACATGGGAGCTAAGGAAGCAAATGGCATATGTCCACACTCCAAAGAATTTCTTAAATTTGGTTTTTGGCTGAAGCAAAAGCTCAAAGAACAAAGGATTTTGCAAAGCAGATTCAGCAGACAGGAGCCAGAAACAGTGGGTATCGTGGCGCATGCTTGGATCAAGTGACAGTACAGACTGAAAACTATGGCAGCTCACTGAAATGGTTACAGAAAGTAATGGCCCTGGATTCTAGGTGAAAGCAAGGCAAGCATACAGTAGGGAGCAGTTAGTCACAAACTAGTAATTGGATTAACAATCATCTACAACTGTAAGCCAGAAGCCAAAAGATGAATTTTTTGGCTATTAAATTTAGGGGCTGTTTAAAATAAAGATTAATCAATTATTTAATGTTTAAGAAAAATTATCTTTAAAGTCAGCATTATACTTATGCAAGAGATGAGTCAGAGAATATTCAAGTAGTAATTATGATTCAGCCTAATTTAATACAACTGAAAATTCAAAAATAGCACAGTATTTAATCCCTATAATGGAATTTAAGGCCAACTACATCCTTATAGGAAATAACCTAGTAAATTTGGTTATTTGTTCTACAAAAAGAGAATGAGGAACTACCAAACTTATCTCAAAGGCAAAATAAAGAGTCTAGTTCAAAATGTTTGGCACTAATCCTGGCCATCCATGAAAGTGGGCACAATTTAGTCATTTATATACAGCTGAGATGTGAAGGTCACAATTAATAAACATTTCAGAGATATCAAAAAAAAAATCTTCACCTCAAATACCATGCACCTTCCAATAATATATAGAATTATTTATAATTATTTTAAAAAAATCTTATTTAGGAGATAATAAAAATTTCATCACTACACACATTATATCTATACTATTTATTTTTTTTTTATGGGTCAGAACTCTTCATAGATAATATCACAAATCTTTGAATAAATCTTCCTAGTTATAAGCATGAACTGATAGCTATACAAGTACCTCTCTGATATTTCTTAGGGGTAAAGTCTGCACACTTGGGTTGACATCACAATCCATTTTACTACTATTCCTTTTCTAGATCATGGCCATAGCTTGATATCTTGCCATCTTTTTAGCATTTTTCTTGTTTCTGAAATGCAGGTAAAGTGGTAAAGATTCCTAAAGTGACAGAAGTAGTTTATATCTCAGAAAGTGAAGAAATGAACTCAATCCTTAATGAAAATCAAACCTTTTGAGGTTTCAGACAGACACTTCTAAGAAACACTGATTACCTAAAGATTATTACCTATTTTTACAAAGCTCTGAGAGAAATAACTGACCCCTAGAGAATCTTTTGATCTGGATGAGTGGGGGAAAAAAGGAATGGGCAGTATTCAACCTAATTTTTAAATGAACAAAAGGAAATAAAGTATAGGTAGGATCAAATAAAAGTTTTAAAACAATGAGAATCCATTTTGTTAATGCACAGCACGAACAGCCATGTTTTCAAATACCTAAAAGTAATATTTCAAATGAAAACAACCTTTTGAAGAAGATAAATTTTCCCAAATGAAGCAGAAATTGGAGATTTTTGGGTTTAGGGGAGTAGACAATCTCAACCTGGGTGGGGATTCAGTTCAGAATAGAAAGAAGAGTGTCACAGAGAGGAAGTAATTTGCAAGTTCAGAGCAAACACCATGATGAAGCAACCTGGGATGGTGGACAGGATATAATCTATATTGGACCAAACTGGAGTCTTTACTATCTGTAAAAAAAAGTCAGTCACTTACTCCTTAATTGTGAAATTGCACTTTTTATTTATATAATGTAGCTGGGTGCCAGTTACACTATTTAAAAGGAAAATTATATATTGTATTTACATGTTACATTATATGCAATGTACATTATAATGTAAAGAATATTTGGTCACATTATATATATATAGATTTATAAAGTGTAAAATTTCACAATTAAGAAATAGATTACTTGTCTGGTCTTTTTCTACAGATAGTAAAAAATGATGAGTAATGAATATTCACTTGCATTACAAAGAGAAACTTATATAGTCCTGCTACATATGAAAAAACTTGCATACCATACATGCTGTTTACACGTTCTTGAACTCTACCTCTGAAAACTTATTAAAATACTGAAAACCAAAAGTTGTTTAACTACATTAGTCTTAGTTTTTTGCATAACTACTCATGAGTACCTCTCAAGTATAATAAAAAGAGTAATTGCTGAGATCACCAGGAGAATTCAAGTTCAGGAAAGCCTATCTCCATTTAACTACATGCACTCATGCATGCAAACACACAGAAGAGTAGCATAAGAAATAGCCTGAACTGGGTGTGTAATCAAGATGTCAGCTGGCTGAACAATGGCGTCCCCAGCCCTCAACATCATTGGAAGGTATTCCAATGAATGTCCACTGAATAAGAATTTTTTAATTGGAATTGGTGGGGGGGGCGGTTTAAATGAGCAGACTGATATGTATACCCCATAAGTATTTTCTTACATATCAGCCAATTCATATTTTGCTAAAATTAAGTATTTTTAAAGTGACAATTATACTTAAATTTTTAGGTTTTAACTATTGCCCTCAAAATAAGGTGCAGTTATCTAAACTGTAACTGATGACTGACAGAAAAAGAGTAAAACTTCTAAATTCAGAATACTAAATCTACGGCTTGCCTTATCACTAGGTAAAGCTCTATTTATTCT